TGATCCAGGATTTTTTCCATTAGGCATGCTACTGCCATTGACCATCACATATTAAATTAAAATTATTTTTCCTTTACTCTTAGCTGCTTTAGGCCATACTAGTGTTTTGGTATGTCAAAATATCTATGATTTCACTGGTGCAGCTTGCAGCCTCTCCACACAGTAAACTGTTTCCATAAGTCATTATGGCCACTCTTCTGGTGAGGAGTTTTTCCAAACCTTGATAAACTTTTGTTCAGATAAAACTCACAGTTGATCACCAGGCCTGTACTTATGGCTTTTCTATCAATCAATAAACAAATATTTATTTAGCACCTACTATGCCTCAGGCACAGTACTAGCTTCTTAGGAAACAAGTACAAAGAATGAAATAATCCCCACACCTGCTGGAGCTTGTTCTCCTCTGGTATAAACCTCAAGTAATAAGGGTCACCTTCATTGGACCCTGCCATAAAAAGGTAAATTCTTCATAGAGAGTCTTACGCAGTCAAAAATCATTACAGCAATGACAGAAATGCAGTGCGGCAATCTTTCCACCTACAGAAAATTCTTATGTCACCTCTGTTTTACATATATAACTAGCAATCAGAATACTTTAAACACTAATGTTAATAGCAACTAACAGGTAGACAGAACAACTGAGATAGATGTTCTGCTTTTGGATAATGATGGTAATCAAAATGAAATGTTAAGTAAGTAGAACCGAAGGTCATGAGTTTAACCAAAATAGGATTCTTCTTTCTGAGGCCCCACCTTTAATCTGGGCAGCTAGGTGGCACACTGGATAGAGTGCCAGGCCTGGAAAAAGGAAGACTCATCTTCCTGAGTTAAAATCTGTTCGCAGAGACTTACTAGCTGTGTGACCCTTGATAAGTTACTTAGCTTTGTTTGCCTCAGTTTCCTCATCTGTAAAATGAGTGCAAACCACTCCTGTATCTTTGCCAAGGAAATCTCATATGGCATCACAAAGAGTCAGACACAGCTGAAACAACTGAATAACAACCTTTAATCTATTTGACCTCAGTTCAAGTCACAATACTGAAGAATTGGTAGAGAATGAAGAGATAAAGGCTCAAGACTAAGAAGAATGAGATAAGATACCAAGGAAGTTTCATTTATGTAGAAAAACTGGTTTAAGTGTCAGCTACTTGTGGAAAAACAGGTTTAACTGAAATGCTGAAGATGAGAAGCAAGGCTTGACAAGCAACAACTCTAAAGAGGAATATTAAACCCAGAGCTTAACGAAAGGAAGTCAAATATGATTGAGTGGGAATTTATGGTGAAGTTTCAAAGGATGTAGATTAATTCTGACACTATTTTACAGCTAGAAGAAATCTCTCCAATAAATATCCAAAACTTTTTTTTTTTTTGCAGGGAGGAGCTCCCAAGTATAAAGCTAATATCTCTGGTTATCTAGCCAATAGTGTTGTAATGTTAGGAAATTCTGACCCAATTAGCATCATCATCAATCTTCTTTATGATGAATATTAACACTATAATCATCTTAACTGAGACTTTGCAATCACTTCTCTCTTAGTGAGTCATATACCTTGCTTCACAAATTACCCTGTTATTATCATTTTTTTCAGGCACTAGTGGTCTTGGCACTGACCCAGAATTCAACAACCAGCTCTGTCATTGACTGTCCAACTTCAGGCAAGTCATTTACTCAACTTTTCAGTTTTCTCTGTAAAATGAAGATCCAAGCTATAAGTGTTCGTGAAGCACTTGTAAACAAATGAAAGGGACAGTGTGTATTTTATCAGTTTCACAAGGTGCAGTAAAAACAACTGTAAGACTCATGCATAAATAGGATGGCAGTAAATGGTGAGTTAAATATAATATTTTCAGTCCATATAGCTAAAATAGACTACTGGTAGCACAGTGGCACCTCACTATAAAACTATTAAATGTGAAATGGAATTCAATATATGGCATCAGTCTCTCATTTAACTACTAAGGTAAGGATTTTCACAGGGGAAAAAAAGGAAGTATTCATAAAAAGCCAAGTCACTTAACTTCTTTGTGCTCAGTTTACACACTGGAAAAAGGGGTATACCAGTACAGTTTCACAGAATGTTTATTAAGAAATCTCTTTGTAAACTTTAAGACATCATATAAATGTTATAATGATTATCATTTTAGTATTAAAATTTCACACAGTATTTCACAAAAGGTTGCAAAACCTGAAGGTGTTGGTCCTAGGAAAGACTAAAATGGTTTCATTTAGGATGGCATCAGAAAAATATACTGAATATGGAGCCAGAAGACAAGGGTTTAAGCCTGGGCCCTGATACTTACTTGTGTAACAACCCTAGGCAAGTTAGTTTCTCCTCTCTGAACTTCAGTTTCCTCATCTATAAAGTGAGGAGGCAGGGCATAGTAGACTATATGACCTCTCAAGCCCCTTTCCTTCCAATTGAAAATACTATGATGCTTTCTTTATTTCAGAATGGAGACTACAGTGCCTGCATGGGCAGACATTGAGCTATTAATAATTAGTCCTACTCCATTCCCCTCAGCAGTATTTGTATAGGGAAGCAGGGAAGTCATACAGACGTTGAATAGTCTTTGCCGCTTCTCCACAGAATACACAGCTGAGCCTACATTTCTCCCTCACCTAGTTGGTCAAGCCCTCAATGAAAGGACAGCTATTTTGTGCAAGTTTTCTGAGGAAATAAATTACTTTAATTCCTAAAGGATAATAGATCGATTTTTTTTCCCTAAAGTGTTCCTTTTATAGGGGGAAATATCATTGGGCTTTGTCAAGAGGAACAATTTTCTGGACTCAGTGAGAGCCAGAAGAATCATTTCTGTTTTGTCATTTCAGAAAAAAAAAACACAACTTGGAACCACACCTCCTCCAGAGGTGAGCCTGAACTGTAACTTTTAGCAAAGTAAATAGAATTACCAAATCTTTCTGATTAAGGCAAGCCCAACATTTTAATATTTTATATATTCATTTAAATAATATACTAGGCTAAAGTTTCCTGTTGCAAATTCAGCTTCCCTCACAAACTGAGCCATCTTTATGAGAAGGAAGAAAAATACATAATGACAAAAGTCCTAGTAATATGCAGATGGGGATGAGGGAACTGGGAAGGTGGGGCAAGAGGGAGGTGTGGGGAATTGTAAATGATTGTAGAAAAGAAATCTCAATTTGGTTTTTTCTTTGGTCCTTGGAGAAGAAAAACACAAATGATTATTATTAGTATTCCTTCATCCAGGCTGAGGATTCATCAGTACATGCTGAAAGGATTAAGGGGAAGGGAGTGATGGAGAGATTTCACACCTGTTTTAATATTGTTCTGTTCCCCCCTCCTTACCTCCACCACCAGCAGTCAAATTGGATGGTTTATTTTTCTATGGGTCAAAACAGCTGCTGGCTCTCCTCCAGCTGCTAAAGTCACCTAACCTCTAGCATTCACCATTTACTGACAATATATTTGGTACCATAGAAAGTACATTGGTTCTTAAATCAGAGGACGTGGATCAAATTTTACCTCTGACATTTATTATCTGGGTCACCAGGGCAAATCACAATCTCAGTTCCTCAGCACTAAAATGAGGGGATTGGCCTTAGAGATAGCCTCTGAGATCCCTCTCAGCTCTATCTAGAACTATGGGATCCTGTCATTTTATGTGCTCTTTAAAAGCTCCATTCTCTCTCTGATTTTCACCTATTGGTTTTCTGAGAGATGCCTACACATGCAAAATTAAAATCAATAATAGAAAATATTTCCTGGGCCAACCCCAAATTTAGCATATTGTCAGCTACCTCTTATAGAGGAAACTTTTGCACATATACCAATGCAATTTTTAAATTATGTGTCTGTTGAATTCAGTTTGGGAATTGCAGGCTAGTAAATTTAATCATACTAAAGTCTTTCTTGACCAAGACTTTTTTCTATATTCCTGGTCAGTGATATGATTCAATCATATTCATTCACTTGGCATTTTGTGTATGAAAATGACCGTTGACAAATTCATGGTCAACTTTCAAGTGGCAAATAGAAAAAAGAAAATGGGGCTCATCACATGCATACAAAGGAACCTTGTTGCATACCCTTTATTGTTGGGATTCTCTGCCAAAGTGATCCCTCCTTCCAGTCATGGGCTAGTGTTCTGACTCCCCTAGAATAATGGAGAAGAATTGGTCTCTCTAGAAGAAGCTGACCAAAAGAACAGTATAACCTTGGATTTTAAACACTCCAAGTGGAAGTATTGATTGCATAGTATGGAGTGCTTGAGACCTTCGCGAGTTCTAAAATAAATAAATATATGAACATATATACGTGTGTGTGTGTGTGTGTGTGTGTGTGTGTGTGTATACATATATGTCTTCAGTGGGATTTTCTTTAATGGAATAAAGGAGGTAATATTAGCTTGCTCCCTTTCCAGGTTGAGAGGCAGGAGGGTGTGTTTCCTTATCCCTTTTCTTCCCATTCTATATTTCTCAAAAGTAGATGAAAGCTAAAATTCCTCAAGGCAAAACATCTTCATTACAATTAAAAGAATAGGTTGGGAGGAGGGGGGAAGGAGCAAGGATAGATATGCTAGATATGACAGATACCATCTAAGATTCTGGGCCATTTGCCCCCTGGTATTGTCAATTTAAAATTACCACCCATTATTTCCAGATTTTAAAAAAAATGAAAGAAAAATGAATTTGTAATAACTTAATATTTTGGCTTTAGCACTAGCTGTGTAATCTCAGGGAAGTTACGTTTAACTTCTCTGAATTTCAGTTTTCTCCTTTATAAAATGAAGAGGAGGAAGAGTATGACTAGATCATCTCCAAGGTTCCCCAAAGCTCTAAATGAAGTAGTCTTGACACTAAATATTTCTTTGATGATATTCAACTATAATACGCAAAGCATGTGTCTTTTTAACTAAGATTGCTAAATTCCAGAAGACGCGCAAAACTTTCTGTTTTACTAAAAGCAGCCATTTGGTGAATATAATATATAACAAAAATAAAATTACACAATGATAATTACCTTTAATGTATATAGTGCCTTTCTACCAAGGAACTCAAAACACTTTACATATATTTATCTTCTCATTGATTTTCAAACATAACTGTGAAAGAAGAAAGGGAAAAGTATTGTTTACTAACAGATGCAATAAAAGGAATTAAATCTTAGAAGTAATATAAAGGTAATGATCCTAACAGTAGAGGTAATTTCCTTATCAGGACTACCAGTGAAATCACAAGTTTGCTCTCTCACCTCCTCCACAACTCCCTCACCCCAAATGATCATAACAGTAAACATAAGTAACTTATAGAATAAGTAAAGTCTTAAGCCTTATCAACAATTCACATATAATTTGTATTCTGAATTACTAAGTGTTATAGTATTGTGGCATATTGTAACTCACCCTTTGAGACAATATACTGAAGACAAGCATCTTAGAGTCATTATCTACTGATATCCTGATATCTTCTTATAATACTAGTTATTACAGACAGGGATGTCATGGAATACAAGCTGAAAAGACTGTTTTGGATGCCATCTTATTATCTAGCCATTGATAAAATAGAGGGACTCATTATAGTATTGCTCCTGTTATGTTTTCTACCCAGCATGGACCCTAAGAAGAAAGTGTATATTTCTAATGTACAGCTAATTAAAGAAAACTAAATTACTAGTAAGTAATATTAGCAATTTGGACTTTGTATTTTAGGACTTTTAAAGTTTAATCACTTGAACAACAACTAACTAGCTCGTAAATGATTTCCAGTAATTAGCACTGTGAATGAAAATACTTTCAGGATTTTTAACTATTTCAGTAAAAATGACTAATGGCTAAGTAAGAGATGGGTTTTGTTGGTTGTTTATCCTCTGTCATGATCAATCAATAAAGTAGTAATTATTCAGTTTAGCATTTTGCTTCAACGAAAAGCACACAAAAGTATACAAGGTCCTATCCAAGGAAGTGGGTGGGGAATGGAGAAGACATGAATTTTAGAAAGAATAATTATAATTAATGATAACCAAACATTCAATTTAAAATGCTTTAATATTGATAAATTAAGCTGAGGCAACATGACTTAAAATGTAAGCTCTTCTAGAACAAGGGCTGGTTTTGCCCTTTTTATTTATTTTTATTTTTTCATCCCCATTGCTTAATGTAGTGCTTAGCATATAGTATATACTTAAAGAAATACTTGTTGACTGACTAGAGATAGAACACTTGGGTTCAAGGCCCAATGCTGCATAATGCTGGGTTAGTCTCTTAGACGCTCAGTCTCCAAGGCAACTTTCTAAGACAATAAATTGCTAATCAGGTACTGACTTGGTACATTGGAAAAGAGAGGTTCTGACACCAGGGAAATCTCAGGTCAAGACCAATCAATCAATCAACAAATGAAAGTGAACTAATCATTATCCTTGGGTAGAATGTCCTTACTCTTTAAGTACCCCCAAATATATGCTTAACTGCTGTAAATTTTACAAGTTGTTGGGGTTTTTTTGGTCAACATTAAAATCATAGTGGGATTTGGGGGTGCCAATACCTTGATTTGCGGATTTATTTTTGTCATGTATCTGAAACAAATTCTCTACTGTTAGATTTTCTGCTGAATAACTCAATTGAAAATAAAATATAAACTTTTCATCAGAAAAGAGGTACTGTAAAACATAACTTTAGTTATGAGTGATGCCTCTGGGTTATTTGACTTAGAAACCAAATCCCACTAATCTCTAGGACCTGGGACAAATACTCTTCTCAGCCTAAGTGGTTAGGCCTATAAACTTAATGAGAAGAAAAGGTTGGATTAAAGATCAAACCCTGTACTTTAACTGAAAATTTGCATAGCACATGGCTATGCAAGGACCAGACAATTTCAAATTTAATGCCAAAAACTTTTGAAAAAAACAGTTTTTTTCCAGCTCCACTAGAGTCCCTAGGGCCCCTCTCAGAAGAAGCCATCTTCCTTTTGTTGACTGACTTCCCAGCCTTTAAGGTTCATTAGTTTCAATAATAAATTTTGGAAATAATTTAGCTATTTTAGAAACAACCATGGTTGCTGAAGGCCATTTTTAACTCAACATATGTCCACTATCACTAGAAAACTCTGTTGAAAATTTGGGCTCCATAAACAATTGTTTTTTAGGCTTTTGGATTCTTAATCTATCTTGCTGCCTCTCTACCCCAACCCCCAAATTAAAGCTATAGGGGTTTTAAATGTAAACTCTACTTTATTTTAATTAGGTCTTGAGTTTCATTATATGCCTGTACCCTCAACAACACTTACAAAGACATGATTTTAAGGCAATATACAAGTATGACTATAAAGTAGTGAGACTAGTTCTCATCTATGTCTTATAGAAATCAGTCTCATTGCTTTGTAGCCAAGGACCCAGTATTGACAATTGCCCATCTTTCTAAAGTCTTAAACATAAATACATTTTTAGTCAATCCTGAGCCCTAGAGCCAATGGATACATAAATAGAAGGACATGGAAAACCACAAGCTCCTATTTTGTAGGACTAATAGAGTGTCAATGTACATGCTCTGGAGAGGAGTAAATGATAAGAAAATAAGCAGTATTTCATTTAACTCCAGAGTGAAGAGCCCTCTATTTCTCCCCTCATCTGTAATACTGCAAGGTTCAAAGTTTAAGATTATTCACAGAAGCACGTTAGCCATGAGACTTACTGGCCCACTAACCTGGCTTGACTTCAGGCAAAGCCTAGACAAACACTCTTGTTCCAAATTCAGCTTTATACCAAGGTATATTATCTTAATGTCTAATCATGTGACTGGACTCTTAAATCCAGGACTGGCAGGTAGGGTAATTCCAAAGCCTATTCCAGAGATGTCTGGAGCTCTAGATAAATATTTGTTACACTCTTAGTTTCAAAAATGAAATAAGTTGCTTTAGAACTTTGTTGGCATATTCCTCACAAGCATGAAAATAGCCCGCACTCATAATATACATTTTAAGATTTAGAGAGTGCTCTTCTCATAACTAACCCAAAAATACCATCCCAATTTTACAAATGAGGAAACTAAGACTCAGTGAGGTTAAGTTTACTAGGATCATACAAGTAGTAACTGACGGAGCCTGGCCTTGAACAGATTCCAAGTACAAGATGAGATGGGATAGATCTAGGGGAATGCTCTCCAAACAATGCCCATCCCAATAAAAAATAAGTTAAAGCAATTTCTACTTGGGAAAAGGAAGAAATAATTTTGTGGTGACATAGGGTAAGGAGGAAAAGTTTTGAATTCCTAAATAAGTGAACATTGTTCCATATTCCCTTTAAAGAACTCACCCTTTTGTCCAGTAGTTCTACAGATGAATCCCAAAGTATAAGTTCTTGTATCTTGAAAAGTTCTTAAAAATAAAAAGGAGAAATAAAAACCTGAATCACAAAACATAAATTCTTCCCCAATGGTAGGAAAGTCCACTGAAAGTAATGAATGAGTAAAAAGCCCTCAATCTGGTAAGTCCCAAATTTCTATAGTCCTTGTATTGTGTCATGTGTAGGATGTTTCTGAAAAAAGAAATTTCCCAGATAATATCCTTCTATTCAACAGTTGCTAAGAAGTAAGGGAAATGTTTTATTTTCTCTGTTAAGAATACAAGGTGGGTAGTTTGGTGGAATTGACAACCAGCATGCATTCTTCCACGCATGGCATCATATGTTCTATCCCTTAAGGCAGAATCAGTTTTTTCCTCCTACATGATCAGAAATACCTGTTATTTTAATTTGAGTAAGTCCTTTCTAGCTCTGATTTGTAAGTGTTCAGAATTATTTTAAAATAATCTCCCCTGTGAAACTTTGAACCTTGCAGCCTTTTTTATATTACTTGATAATAAATAAAAGAGTCTCTTGTGAATAGTTTGTTCAACATTATGTCATTATTCAAACCAAAGCTTCTAGATGTTTTAGAGGATCAGTTTTGGGCCCCAAGACATAAGGAAGGTGGGAGGGAAGTAGTTTAGGAACAAACATTTTGACTCAACCTTGTTAGAAGTTACTAATAATTCTTTCAATGTAAAATTAGTGATGAACATAGCTTTATATTTAATTCTTCCTTTCCAAATCTATCCTAACACTGGACTAAGGGGTTTTTGTGAAGATATTAAAATTTCAGTCATTACTCTCAGACAAAAGACAGTCAGGCCTAGTGAGGTTTAAAAGTTCTCCCACTATTGTTGCTTAGCTGACAACACATAAAAGAGGCTCCTACCTTTCTGAAAATTCAGTCCACAATGATGCACCTCACTAGCAAAAAGCCATCAGAGACATGGATTTCCAGCCTTCATGCCAGCTTCATTCTCAACAGTGATCAACACACCTCATCTCTGAGCTTTGAAATTCTTTGGGGACGCACCCTCTAAAGTTGCAAGTCAAGATTTCTGACTGAGAGCAATTAGTGACGTGACGAAAAGTGACTGGGTGAAGTTTTGAGTTCTCACAGATAATTGCTTCCTGTTTTACCAATTTGAAAAGAGAATACTGAAGTTCAGACCCCATATTTTAAAGTGTACTAAATACCCCAGACTTCGGAGCATTTTTGTACACGTAATCATTAGTAAGCAGCTGAACAGGATGGGTTGGTTGCAATAAAAGGGAAAAAAAAAGAGAGAAAGAAACTTGAAATACAGTCCACAACTACATTGTATGAGCTGGTTTGACAACTATATAGCACTGTGTATACTTCTGGGAGTGTTCAGAGGACTCACAGCTTATTGAAAAACACTACCATTACCATTGGTTGAAGTATAAGCTAAGTAGTATAAAGAACAAAACAGAAAATTTGCTCCCTTTAATGAGACTTATTTCCACGAAATTTGTTTAAATTATTTTAAGCTAATAAAGCAAATGAAAAAAGTCTCACTTTAATCTTACATTTTCATTAGAATGAGATATATAAGCCACTTTGCTTTTTACTTTTTTGGCTCCAAAGTATAACCATCATGCAGATAGTAAGATTTAGAAAAACCAAGACCTAATTGAATGATGACATAAGCAGTGCTTGGCACATAGTAAACATTTAATGAACATTTTTCTCATTCATTAATTTATTCATTTTTGCTTTGAGGATTCCAAATTCACAGTTTAG